CAAACTTGCCCAAAAATGAAAAACGCAAATACTATTAGTATGAGTCGATCGGAGGGTTGACACGAGCACACCTGAGAGCAAAAGCTTAAAATCCACATCATATGAGTCGACCTAAACAGGGCTTTGAGTCAACTTAAGCACTCGAAACTCCCAAAACTGACTTTTTAAACATATTTTGGTCTACCTAAACAATACTTATGCATACATAAGCCTCTTAACAAGATGAAATACAAACAAAACACATATGATGCTCTTCTATATGAATAGACTCATGTTTTTGAAATATCTTTGTGCACTAGAAAACTATGAATGCAGGCTACGACTCGATGATATCGTCCAAAATATAAAGTACTAATAGACACGTTTTGAAATCATTAAAATAAGGATTGAGACACCTTGCCCTCACAGTTCAGTCCCTTGGTGGCCACCTCAAAACACCTTTTGGCAGCCTCAATGTCCTCGTGGAGGGCGACGACGTGACCTCTAACTGTGTAGTACTTCATCTTTAGGTGGACTGTGGATGGTACTGCTGTCAGCTCGGCCAAGGTCGGTCTTCTCATAATGCATTGGTATAGAGAGGGGCACTCTATTACCAGGAAGTGCACTTTAACCTTCCTGGAAGTCTCCTCAGACCCGAAAGTGACGAGCAGTTTGACATAGTCCCATGGCCTCGTGGTGGTGCCATTGAAGCCTTGCAAGTCGGAGCCAACATATGGAGTCAGATGCCTCTCGTCGAGTTGGAGAGTGTGAATAAGTGAGCATACATTATGTCGTCCGAGCTCCCCTGGTCGACAAGGATGCGGAGGACGTCGAAGTTTTCCATTTGGGCCCTGATCAACAGAGGAATACTATAATTGGGGGCGCCGCCCGGTAGCTCCTCGAGGTAGAAGGTAATCGGGTTTGATTTACCCTCGAACCTGTCGAGCATGACGTTCTGCTTCAATCTTGCGTCAATTAGATCGTCAAACTTCCTCTTTACTGACCCCACGGAGAGCTTATTGAACCTTCCGCCAGATATGACCATGGCGGAAGGGAAGTTCTCCCAAGCACTACGAGCGGACAAAGGTGTGCCGGCCTCATAGGGGAGGTAGAAGTCCTCCGGCTAGGAGACGCACAGGGCGACCTTTAACCCAGCATCGTCGAAGAGGGGCGTCACCTCCTCGACCTTCTTTGTCTTGCGGGTTTCCTATCGAAGAGCTTTGATCCTCCAAGTGTACTGCTTTAGATGCCCTTCTTTGATCAGGATTTTGATTGAATCCTTGAGATGGATGCAGTCTTCCGTGGCGTATCCGTGGCTCTTATGGAACCGATAGTACTTGGACTTGTCGGCGTTGGGCTTAGGGGTGTTAGCTTGGGAAAATGAACCCCGCCCCTTTTGAACTCCGAGTTGATGCACTCAGTCATAAGTCGCTCGTGGGGATATAATGCATCTCAAAATAGTACGTTTGCTGAGCCCATATAATGCATCTCAAAATAGGATGTATGCTGAGCTCCCCAAATCAATTAATACTCCTTTTATATCCTTGTCATCATATAGGACCATTACGATCATTAGGTCATTGTCGCGAGGATGGATGGCACCATAATCCTTATCAGAGAAAATGATCTTAAGTTCTAACTCCCTTTCTGAATTGGGGTTGGGATTGGCGGGCACAACTTCTACCGCATGGATTTATCGAGCTATGCTTATGCGGTAGGAGTTGGACTTTCCACCTCTAGTAAACCCCCTGCTATGGTGTAAATTGTTGTGGCTAATTTGGTTGATGTCATGATTCCTCCTCTTGTCACCATGTTAAGGAAGATGGTTGAGGCAACTTATAAATTGAAGGTGAGTGTGACCCATGTTAATTTTACCATGTCCCGCGGTGGGCGTCAATTGTATTTCTTAAAAGTATAATATTTGAGACATAGTCTGCTCAAGTAAGGATTATGAGAGACTCTGTTTATTTTCTCTCTAGAATCTCTGAATTTCATTTTCCCTAATTTGGAAGTATGCTTATATAAAGGGGCCTCTTGACCGGATCCATGAGAAACTATTTTCTCCCATTCTCTTATAAGAAACGTGGGATTAAGGGAAAACCACTTCTGCCCCAAATTGTAAGAAAGACAATTTTTTCCCTTGAATGATATTTTTAGATCGTTTCTCCTTGGACAACTCATAATACACGTTTGTTATATGATACAACTCATGAATTTCAAATTCAATCCCAATCGGGCGACCTTCAATGCTTTCAGATAGCCAAGATGCTTCAGACGCTTTAAAAGGCCAACTCTACTTCGAGTACTTCAGGGACTAACCTTACTCTTGGTGCTTCAGGCGACTAACCTGCTCCAGGCACTCACCCAACATTATCGCATTTAATTCAAACATTTTTATCATGAACCATTCCTTTCTATGCCCAATAAAATTATGCTCAGTCCTGAAACTTAAATTCTTTTTAAAATAATTAAATATAAATATAACATAATATTGAATTATTAAATGATAAACACATTCAAATAAAATTTCATATAATTGAAAAATTTCTCTTTAAAATAAATGGTCTTTTGAGTATTTAGGAAGAGAGGAGAAAACTTCATGTCAAAAAAGAAAGAAGAGCAACGTGAAATTGAAAAATGAATAATCCCCTAACTTAAATGAGTGTTTATTACTTTTCCATAATACAAAATTTCTTAAAACAGAGAACTTAAATTAAGAAAGATTACGGAATAAGGGAAGGCTTAATTAACAATATTATTCAAAGTTTGAAAAATTTACTTAATGGGTCAATTACTCTCTGTTTGAAAAATTGTTTTTTTTTAACTTATGGCGTTTTAAAACCCCCCACAATCTTACTACTTTTCGAATCTAACACATTGTTTTTGTAAACTGTGACAGTTTTAAACCATTGCAATTATACTATATTTTGGAAATAACACACATGTTCGAAATTGTGGCAGTTTAAAACGCCCGCAATTTGCATAGTTTTCTTGAAATAACATACTAAAAATATGAACCATTATGGTTCTAAATCATTTTCAATGATTATGAAACTTTTCCAAAATACTACATCAAATCAAATCAAAGATGCACAATGAGATATATTTGAGTCAAAATAAATCAAGTTTGTATTACCTCTTTTATACATATTTTTTATATAATTCTAACAAGTTTTTCAAGTATTCATATATATCCATTACAATGACTTTATGCATAACTCTCGTATTATTCAAAAAGAGTTTCATTCAATTATTTTGAACACTTAAGTATATATATGTTTGAATTGTGATCAAGAGAAAGAGAAGATCAAATCGATTATCTTAGAATTCAAGCCAAGTCAAATATTACTCAAAATTATATACAAGGTTGTATGGTTTGTTTACCGTTGTTGTTTGGTGTGATCATCACAAGTTGTTGGTGATTATGGTAAAGGTTCTGTGATTCGGAAAGATTCAAAGTCTATCATAATTTAGATGTTTCTTTCTTGTATTGGTTTCTGTTAGAAGATTTATGATAGGTTTTAGTGTAAGGCTTATACAAAGATCTAACATATTAGAAAATCTCTCACAGGATATGTACCTTCGATTGAAAATGAAAACTAGTATTTGTGTTCTTTACTTTTCTACATTTTATTTTTTACATTTTATTATCCTAAAAACATAACATTCAATATTTTGTTTTTGATAAAATAAAAAAATAAAATCCTAAAAGCAAAATAAAATAAAAAATCTTTATAACCTAATTCACTCACTTCTTAGATTGTATTATATACTTGCAATCTCCTATTTATATTTTCTCCTTGTACTCTTCTTCATATATAACATTTCCGGTCTATCTTACACAAAGGCCCATAGAAGGTAATTAAATGTGATTGACTTCTATTTGTATGATTGAGAACACATTTATACATGCACGAGTGGTATTGAATTAATAATTATAATTCATTTCTTTAATTATATAACATTTGAGTTTGTGTCTCAAAGTAACCAACAAATTATATATATTTTAAGGCAAAGTGAATCAAGGTCAAGTCATGACTAGAAAATTGTGATTGCTAAATAGAATGCAAATTATAGAAAAGTATATGAACCACTCAAAATAATATTCTGTACCTTAGTGGTACACTTCTTCAATGTTCCCCCACTTATATAATTAGTTTCAAAATTATTTATATAATTGGATTGTAACTAAAAACAAAAAACAAATGAAATATTTTTAAAATTTTTGCAAGATGCTTAAACAATATCTAGGGTGCATAAAGAAATTCTATCCAGACAAACTCCACTGACCCAGACTGAATCCGATTCATTCAAGAAACCGAACATGAATAAAACTGGCATATCATTAATCATTAGCCTCAAAATAAAACTGGCATATCATTAATCATTGCATAGCCTCAAAATCAAAACAAATACAAATTCCAGGATTTGGATCCTCTCCTTTTTCTTTTTTTTTATATATTATGCCATCTCTTATGTTTCTAATGCAACGGTTCAGAATTTAGAATGAATAATTAAATAAAAAAAGTCATTTAACAAAGACAAATTACTTATTCATTTCTCTCTCCTATTAAATGACTTTTTTTATTTAATTATTCATTATAAATTCTGAACCGTTAAATTAAAAACATTAGAGATGACATGATATATAAAAAAAGGAGAGGATCCAAATCCGAAATTCCATTCTAGATGTACAAAATAAGGAAGTAATTTACCGTTGATATTACACAAGCAAAATGACTCTTTTGACATTTCTTTTCAAAAACCAAACAACCATCTTTCAAGTTAAGACAACATTATATATAGGCAATACCATCTATTACTAATAAAAGTGATAACTAATAAGAGACAACCAACTTTAGTTACATTAAAATATAGGAATAAGCATATATTGAAGTACTAAAATACCTCAAGCTGATATTACTATATATTAATCTCGATATTTCTTTTTGCATGATTTAAATTCACAACCAAACTCTTTGCTAATCCATTGTTGAGGAAATAAGCAAAATCAAAGGATTTTAGGGTCTGATAGGTGCTTGCTCAAGTTCGGTTCTCTTCTGACCAACACAACCTGAGCTAACTAAAGAGGTAATCCAAATATCGTCAGATTTTACCGGTTCATCATCGTCATTACGGTGCCAACTCCAGAACGCATGCGTCGAGTTTACAAGCTTTAGCTCCCCATGACCAAAACTTGCTTCGCGAAATTCTGACCACTTCGGAGGTGGATCTATATACCTGACAAACATCAACGATACAGCCGTACAAATCTTAAGAATGATCTAAGAATCTAAGCTACACTTAAAAAGGAACAGATAAAGTATCAGAGAAAACTCAAAGATTGAATTTGAAAACAACTTCAATAGAATCAAACTTACTCATGAGCTAAGCCTTCTTTGTTACCTCCATCGCCAATTGTTATATGAACAGCACCACAAGGATCTAATTTTCCATTATATACACGTTTCTGTAAATCACACAAGAATTAGTTGAGTTTCAATTATGATCGGTAAGTAATATTTACAAAGTAAGCTTACCGAGCGTTCGTATGCATGCACATGACCGGCAAAAGCTAAATCAACTTTAGCAGCATAAAGCAACGGCTCCATGGTTTTCATCATATCACTACCTTCACCTTGATGAGCCGTGTTACTATTATACCACGGGACATGAAATATGGCAAGCAACCAAGGTGTCTTTTTCCGGTCCACCTTTGACAGATCTGTCTGTAGATCACAAAGATATAAAAAGATTAAAACTAAGGATGTTTAACAATGTTTCCTTTCATAATTTTCAAGGAAACTAAGGGTGTTGTTGCTATGTTGTTAATCCCAGATGTGTGGAGTGCGAGACCTAAAACTACTAAAGCGGCATATGGGTTAACAGTATGGCCGCCATTGTGATTGCAAGGACTAGAAAACAGTAAGCAACTAACCTTTAGCCATCTATATTGTTCCGAGTGCACGTCATAATCGTCATAGGAACCAAGCATGATAATGTGAGCACCAGCAACTTCAAAAGAATAATAGAGATTCGAACTCGATCCACTTTCCTCAAACGGCATTTTCCACCTAGAATTATAGGATATAAATCCCTCCTTTAACAACGGTAGATGTTCCACTTCATGGTTCCCTTGTGTTACCATCCACGGTCTAGCACTAGCAAGCGGCTGCACAAGCCTACCAAACGTGTCCCAACGACGCTGGATATAATCGGCATATGAAAGATCACCAGGAATCAGGTTAACATCATATTTGCATTGGCCGATGTGATCTAACGTTGATTTAGTCCAACCGGTTTGGCCAAGATCTCCTGCCACAGCAAAAGAAATCGGAAATTGAGCTGGAGGTGTTTTAAGCTGGAACTCAGGACCTTGTCTACCGCATCGGTAAAAGTAAACAGAACTCGGCTCTAAAGGGCCTATTACTGTATGGTGTATCTTTCCTGAGCTATAGAAAATGTAACTGTAAGAGGTTGTCTCTCCTTCAGCTACAGAATCGTATTTTCCCGGCAATGTTCCATATTCTACAACTGAAGGCGCAGATTTGTCATCAGTAATCCAGGTAACTCTCATGTGTTTGTCTCCTGCCAAAGAAATGTGTACCTGGAATACACTTTTCATATAAGAATCTGAATAGACAATGAAATACCGAACTTGTCAAGAAACATTCATCGCAATCAAGAGCAAATAACAAAAACAAGTAATCACAATTACAAACTGTTGCCACATTACTCAACCAAATACTCAAACATCAATGGACTATACTACAGTTAGAATACCACACACTCATAAGTCGAAAAATTCGATGAAGATATAACAATTCATTCAAAATTTGTGATTTATGATTGATTGTAGTGCTGTTGCACAAAATCCATTTCCCGAATAAACCTAGCAGTCTCACTAAACTTTGCACCTTGTCATAAAAATCAATAGCTATGAAGCACGGACACTAGAAACATGACACTGGGACTAACACATCGACACCAGTAATAACGTGTCAGTGTCGAATTTGGACACCTACTGATACAAACACACAATTTTTCAAGGATGTTGGTGCTACTGAGGTTACCAGCCCGATCCATAATGAACATAAGAAAATCAGAGGTTATTACTGTAGCAGGGAACCAGGAACAAAAAACTACACTAAAATGAGGTATGAACACAGAAAAACGTGTTCACATGTGAAACATGCAAATTAAAGTGACAATTTTTCGAAATAAAAAAATGCCAGAAACATAAGCGTGGTTATCTTACAAGACTAATAAAGCAAAAGGGTATAGAAAAGTAGTGATTTTGCAGGAAAATACCTGCTGAGGATAAGAAGAGGGTTTTGAATCCCATGGAAGATGTAAGGTTTTTCGAGGCTGAGGTCGAATGTAAACATCATCAGCAATGGTGGTTACTGACAGGATCAATAAAACCGACAGAATGAGTTTGAGTTTCATTGTTATGCAAAGAAATGGTGAAACTGAAGGACAAGAATGTACTTCAGGATCTATGAATCATGAGTCGGTGTGTCATAGTCATTATTGAGGTTGGTGGATTTTGTTGTGTACTTTTGCTTTTTGTCACTGTGTGAGTGTGACTTTTTTTTGTCGTTTTATTACTTTTTGGATAGTGTAATTTTTTTCCTTTCTCAAAGCGTTCAAAGCTAATAATTGAAAAATTAATCATTATTTTTACATCAAAAAATTAAAATGATTTTTATTTTAAAATAAATTGTATTTGTTAAAACGACAATTATATTAAAATAGAGAAAATATTTAATTATAATAATTTATAAAATAATTTTAAAAAACAAGATAATTCAACTAATATTTATTATTATTCTAGCGTCTAAGCGAAAACAATGTGCACACGTGTTAAAATTCAAAGGTACTATTTTATTTAAATTTAATCTAAATTAAAATTTTATTTTATAAATTTTATGATATAAATTTGTGTATAACAACTTAATTTTATATTAGATATATGATAAATAAATAGTAAATGAAATAAACATATATTTATTTATACGAAAACTTTTGTCATTTAAAAAAATCATAAAAAATATGAAAGCATAGAAAGACACATCACACATGGAACAAAAGTCAGCATTACTTCTATTATTTTTTTAACATCCCATCCAATATGATCCCCAAATTATTTATAGACTATTTTTTGTTGTTGTTAAATTTGATAGACGCATATGATATTATTTCATAAGTATATTAAATTTTGTTTCAAATATGTAAAAATATATTACAAAATAAAGTATTTAATTTTGATGGAAATTGATTAAAAAAAAAGAAGGAAGAATATATCTAATAATTTACTATTTTATGACTATCTTTATTAATAGTTTTTCATAATAAAATTATAATATATATATATATATATATATATATATATATATATATATATATATATATATATATATATATATATATATATATATATATATATATATATATATATATATATATATATATATATATATATATATATATATATATATATATATATATATATATATATATATATATATATATATATATATATATATATATATATATGAAAACATCTCAAAACAACACAATTATATATATATATATATATATATATATATATATATATATATATATATATATATATATATATATATATATATATATATATATATATATATATATATATATATATATATATATATATATATATATATATATATATATATATATATATATATATATATATATATATATATATATATATATTAACATGTACTTTAACATACGATAATTAAATCTAATTTATTGTTTAAACGAATGTATAGGTTGAACTTCGATTTTTTGTTTAATTGGATCAATTACGTAAATGTGACCGATTTATTTGGTGGTAATAATAAAAAAAAGACAGACCAAATTAAAATTAAAATTTATTTAATTTAATTGAATAATTACTATGCACTATAAATTCATCGTCATCATCCATTTAAATTATTTTATATGTGATTAAAACAAAATTTAAACTTCTCCTAAAATCCAACATCTACAATTAACTTCTATTTTAATTAAATTCTTAATTTCAATTAACACACTTATGACAGAAATCATTAAAAAAATACGTAACAAAAATCATATATTATAACACTATGCCAAAAAAGACCTTTAGCAGCGCTTTTATTGGTGTTTAGCAGCGCTTTAAACCGCTGCCAAAAGTGGCGCTGCTAAAGGTAAAAGCAGCGCTTTTTTATGGAAAAAGCGCTGCTAAAGGCTCCCTTCAGCAGCATTTTTAGCAGCGCTTTTATAGCCCTTTAGCAGCGCTTTCATAAGCGCTGCATATTCCCCCAACCATCCCCCCCTTTAGCAGCGCTTTTACAAAGCGCTGCCATAGCCCCCCCCCCCCCCTTTAGCAGCGCTTTTTAGAAGCGCTGTCGTAGACCCCCCCCCCTTCCAAACCTATAGCAGTGCTTTTGTAGCGCAATGTTTGTGACCTTTAGCAGCGCTTTTTTGTAAAAGCGCTGTCTAATGTCCCAGATTTTAAAATTTTTTTAAAAAAAATATTCACCCTGTTTTGTTAATTTACCAACAACCTGCTTATATTACACAAACCTGCTTATAATTCAGGCCTTTATTTCAGCACTTTGGCCTTATATATACAATTCAAAACTTTGGCCTTAAATATACAATTCAAAACTTTGGCCTTATATATACAATTCAAAACTTTTGATACATTGTAACTCATCACTTTGTTCATAAACATTTTAATACACATAAACCTGCTTAAATATGTTACAACAAAATTCGATCCTCAGAATTACAACATCACAAATACATTCAATTTACATATAATTACGATTCTTCCAATCCGATAACTTTATACAATTCTCAACCCAAGAATAAATTGACATCATTCCTCTTTAATTTCTTCCAATTTTGCTTTCGTGTAAGTAGCGCACTTGAATTCATCAAAATACTACATAATATAACAGAACATGCAAGATTTAATTTTAAAACTAATTACTCAGATGAAGTATCGGATAATTATCAAAATGAATCATATAACTTATATAATGAATTGATCCATACCATGACTGGAATCTCAAGTTGACCAGAAAGAATAATTTCCCTCATAAAGCGCAATACAAAATATCCACAGTCAATACCATTGCGCTGCCGAGGACACTGTAAATGGAAAAAACAAACGAACATTTATCCGGATATATAGTTTAAATAGTTTTATCAAGTAGAACCACTATAATAGTCAAACATACAAAAATATACCTCCACTCTGATCCAGTTGATGTTGTTAGCCTTGCTTTTTGGCACCGTTGTATCTCTTTGTGCTCTGAATATTTGTATAACTCTAACATAATATAAACGCATATTTAGAACAATGTCACATAATAAATAAAGATATATAATTAAAGACAACAATATATCTCATCACTTACGTATCAACCATGTTCCTCAGATTCTCATATTTTGTTGTATCGCCATCCAATGAATCAATATAATACACTATTTCTTTCGTCGGATTAATCGCGATCAACAACCAATGTCCACTATAAAATAAGACAACAGTTTAGACGAAAATGTTATATAGAAAGGGAAAAATCGAACAATTATAATAAATGGATTTAGAATAAAATCTAACTCATGGCCAGTATTATATGGCAACAAGAACAACTTCTCCGTAGTCGCGCGCATAAATCTCTGCACTGTGTACTCTTTGATTGTATCTGGTGTCTGGTCTATTATCCGTGAGTTGACACAGCTAGCAGATAAGAATGCGAATACTGAAGTCAATTCATTCGGTACCAATAACTTGTCATACAAGAACCTAAAAAAACATAATCAACATTAGAATATTCAGTTAAACGAGCAAATTTTAAAATGTTCAATTATTTAATTAAAATGGATCGAAGTACCTGAAGTATGAATGCATAACACCGACGCCCAATTCAGAATGGTTGAAAACCTGATCAAAATCCTCCTTAGCAATTGTTTTGGGATATTCAAAACCGAAAATACATGCCTCCATATGTATTTGACGGATGCCACCCTCAGGCACATCTGATGTTCCGACATATGTTTCAAGGCACATCCTAAATCGAGGAACAAATGCTTTTCTGGGAACCTTGGAAGTTTCAGGCATCTTACCCTTGCTGACTTGTTGCGACTGCTGATCATGAACCTAAAAGTCATATATAAGTTCAGTAATTAATGTATAACAAGATAATCATGTAACTGTAGTAGTACCTGTTTCTTTGATGCAGCTGAATCGGTATCCCGCACAATAATTCTATCATCTTTTGATTTGGATTTTGTAGGAGTCTAAGATCATCATGTAAATAAGAAAATGTAGATGTAAGAATAACTTTCATGTATGGATCATAAAACATTTGAGTATTAAAAGGTTCAACCTACCTCATCATCTATGCAAATGAGATTTGCCGGCCATGCCACATACGCTCCTATTGCGTCTCCCACCACTGTTGCGCCTAAAATATCATCTGGTATAGGCAATAACGCACTCCCCTCTAATGCAATATCAATAGATACTTTCAAAAATCCAGAAGGGAGCGGTTTATGGTGAAGTAATTCTCCCAAAAATTTATGCACCTTTCCCTTGCCAACCATTCGATGAGTAGGTGACGATAAATATAGCTGGCAAAGTGAAATGCCCTAAACAAATAATGATCAGTTAATGTGTCAATTAAGTAAACTGTGCTAAATTAATTTCAATGTAATATATACAATTACCTCTGGAAGCTTCTGCGGACAACCGATACTATCTTTGTCACTAGTAGCTTTACCCTCTGGAGCGCGTCTTTTCGACATGTATCTCTCCTTATCCTTCTGTAATTCACGGATTTGCGCTTTCAATTCCTCCAAAGTATCCATCACTTCTTTATTGGTTGGATTTTTTTCTTTGGCTGCTTATACAGTTTGGATGGAGTGACACCAAATCCCTTACCCCTCACACGCCCAGAATACTCAGGAATATTCAGCACCCGACTCAGTAAGCTCCTGCAATCATCATCCTCAGCGGGAGTTATAGTCTGGGATAAAGTCTCCTGAAATATAGATAAAAACATATATAAATATATTATACACTTTTGATCAGTTACTGATAAAGATAATGTTGTACTTACACATTGTTCAAAGACTTGTTGAACTTCTTCCTGAACGACTCCATCTCGTCCCACACGGGCAGCCTTCCATACAACATGGTCCGGAAGAGATGTCACATCACTCTTCTCCTCTTCCAACTACGCATTAAGACGGATAATAAAACATTATATCCTATTATATATACTTACTATTTTTTGTAAATATATCATATTAAAGCATTTATATGTACTTACTATTTTTTATTCTAATCGTGCATATCCCAAACGGCCCTTTCTGTATGGATATGCGGGATTTGATGCTCGTTGACGATTTACGCCACTAACAAC